ACAGTTACTATTGTGCCAACTCCAATCCGGATATGGTTGTAAAAGTGGCCCTCCTGGTCCTATCTCATCTGTTATAGTCGCCAAAGTAGCAGGTGCACCAGGACCCAGTTCATTCGAAGCAGTAACGAATATCCTACCATCTACAAGAATATCATTTATAAATAGATCTTAAGAAAAAATTACAGGAATTTGAATATTCAAAATACGTAGAGAGATATATAAGACTAATGAGAGTCATCAATAAATAAAGAATCTTCACATCAAGTTATAATCAAATATATTAAATTCCAAAAATTATAAATATTAAGAAACTACAAAAATAAGTACATAAGAAAAAACAAAATTAAATTTAAATTTCTCCGATTCAGAACAAAATGCATATCAAGTTTCCATATATTTACACCCTCTTTCGATGAACAAAATTTAATGTAGAAAAACAGTAGTTAAATATTAAAGTAAGCTTTTGCTCTAATATAGGTATTTCTGCAGATAATCATTGCAACTTTTACAATTACTATATCAATTTACCTTTTGCTTTGTCTACATCGAATAACATGCACGTAGAACGATTGTAAGTGCCAGAATTTATTGCGTCTTCCTTCTGTTCGTTACTTTCCCATATGTAGTCAGCATATTTCCATTCATATATATAATTTACTTTGATTCCAAAACTCGCAATTGTCATACACAAAATTATCAGATCAGTAAAGAGATACCTCATTTTTACCTTTGTGTATAGAGGTTACAGACAGTAATGTTGTCGCTCTGTTATTATATAAACGAGACTTTTTCTGTTAAGATAGGGTTTTATTTGAAGTTAAATGTTTTAATTCCTAGAAAAATATTGCACAGTTGTTCTTGTTATTAAATATTTATTAAAAATTAATGTATTAACGGCGTTATTATTTTGTGTTTGATGAAATTATTTCACCTTACGATATACAGGCAGAATAGAAATTTTGAATATGATGCTGTAAAAATTTCAAAAAGCTAGCAACACACTATTAAAAAGTTTATTCAAAAAAACATCTGTGATGCATTTTAATTCTTTGTTTTTATTGTTAATGAATTCGATTTTGGAGTTGCTCAGTGTTTCTCTTTGGTTGTAATATAACGAATTTTATTTTACGTTCGTAAAATGTAATGATTTGCGTTTAACAGCAATTTGTCTCTTAAGACACAGACTTTTGCATATAAAAATGATATAGTAAAAATTCTTACATGTAATTATAGAATGCAATAACTAAGCGATTTTTGAAACTGCGTACGTCTTTTAAAGATACGGTATAACTTTTCGGATTGTAGTATATATAACAACTAGTAAAAACGTATATGCAACTGATAATCGCTTATTATTTTTATCGTTCTTTTATACACAATTCTCATGAAGGTAACTTTAAAGGCTTGACTTTTCTACCGATAATAATAATTAAATGTTATAATGAACTTATTACAATGGTGTTATTATAACGTCTATAATGCAACATTTTCGATACTTGCATTTCAACACATAAATAATAATATAATGGTATACCTTATCAGTAAGGCCATTAGGAACGGCGTATGTATTGACTATATTTGTAAGTGTATAAATTAAGTTTCAAAAGTAAAAAGAATTTTTTATTATTATTCTAATACTAATAATCTTTCTATAATTATTTAATTCATTAAGGGGATGCTGTAGCCGCCTGTGTATTACTGATAAAACAGGTGATATCAGAATCACATTATTTAATTAAATGAATCGGGCTAATCAATGGATCTAGATGTCGCAAGACTTCCAACTGATCTTTCGAACTGGCAGAATTGATGACTTTTGCCTTAATATTTCATGTGGTTCTATCATATTTTGGCATATATGTATACCTATTTTACCCTTTTAAAACAAAGAGCCGTAAACATCAGTACCGATACTAGTAATTTTTACTAAAACGAACAACTTATAGACGTTAATAAACGCATATTAATAAATACCTAATATTTATAAAAGCAGATAAAAAGCAGATAAAACGTTAAAAGGATATATAAATTTTAACATTTCGAAACACATAGCTCTAAAAAACTGTTTGAACAAAATTAAAAATCGTTAAATATATTTTATTACAGCTAGACGTATATATTGACAATAAATGACATTAAATGTAGAAATTAATACAATATTTACAATAATAGCGTAGTTTTATGAATGAAGTAAAACACTCGAGCGCTTATACGTATGATGTCTTTTTTTCATTAATTACACTTTTTCGACAGAGATCGAAAGAATAGAAAAATATTTCCAATAAAGTGTTATCAAAAATTTTACGAATACTTGAAACACACTATTAATGGATTTTCGGATTAACGACTCCAATGAGTTTCTATGTTTATTAATAACTACCATATATCTTTAACTAATCACATTTGCTGCCTAGCAGAATACTATTTTTATCAAGTTATTTCAATCGTGTATAAACGTACCTTTTTAAAAAAAGTTAAAAAAAAGGGCTAAAAATGCGTGCTTCTGGTTAAGAATTTGGACTAGTTTCACCAACGCCAATTACTTAATAGGCTGACTAGTCATATTTGTAGTTTAGTAGAATACAATGAAACCTAAGTTCTATCCACGTAAAAAAAAAAAACTTATCTTTTAAAAAAAAAATCAAAAATGCGCTGAGAATATATGCTCGACGTAAAAAACTATCGTCTGCAAAATCATCTGAAAAAAATTAAAGATGCCGACGCCTGTTGTTCCTACTGTATATCCTTACATTTTTGAAAACTTAGAATAAATCCGGTATATACGCCGCGTCAACAAATACGCCGCAGAAGTCAGAAAAAATAGATGGAGTGGGGATAAGTTTCCGTCAATTACTTTGTTACATGCCTTTATGGTATATTAGTATTATGTTATGATTTCAGTTCTTTACTGTTAATATTAATGAAATTATTGCGAGTTAAATCGATTTTTTACTGTAATAAATAGTGCCATCATAATTTATAATCTACATAAAATGATTATTATAGAGCGTGTAAAAGACTTAATGATTATTTTGCAATACATATGTGTAGAGGAATAGTAAAGCATGTTGTATAGCAAAATACAAGTGCTTTGCTCCTGTATTGTTTGTTTAATTATTTGTCATATATATCCCACCTATTTGGGATATACGGCATTTTTAGCGAGCGGGATGCTGTGTCGCAGCACAGACGCTCTATTTAAGAAGTTTTTGTTAATTCTAACAATTATACATTGCATTAATGCATAAATGTTGATAAATCTTAAACGTTTAAAGATTATTTTCAAAGATTTGAAGCTATTTTAAAAAATTGTGTTAAGTCCTATTTGTATTCCATTTTTCATTCTGAACAATAAAAATTGTCATATATTAATAAACAATGCAAGTTACGTCGTCATTTTACATCTTATTTATAGATTATTTGTGATTTTCTTATGAATTATATGTGAGTGGCCATATTACCCCCCCCCTATGGGATAAATGGCAAAAATGCAGGAGTTTGAAAAAGTTACTTTTTAATATGGAAAATAAATTATTTTAGATTTCTAATATTTTTTTTATAGTAGTAGATGATACAAAGATTCTATTTATATAATTAATTTACTTTAAACATAGTAAATAATAATTGATAAATTAAGTTTTCGATAGGTGCGGCGTATATACCGGGTTTACCCTATGTATTACTATCTTTATTATTTACTTAATTCTAATGACATGTATTATTTGTATAAAAGATTTGATATCAATAGTCGGCTTCAAGTTAAATTCTATATTCTTCCAAATTAAAAAGTAAAATACAAATTGTACCATCTTTAAAAATCCATGTAATACTATTTTTATTAAATTTCACTAAATTAAAAAAAATAATCCATGTGATACTATTTATGTATTCATATACAACAAAGCCTAAATATTAGGAGGTTGCATTAAAAGCTACTGTTCACATTTAGATGGCTCTAGCTGCGTATGTGATCAGAAACATCTGTAAATTATGTCATTTTGAAGTATGAAAATTTTCCACTAAAATTCAGTCATCTATCCTTGTTTAAAAAATAAACATTGAAAAAATAGCATTGTAAGAGTCAATAAATAAAAAATATTATTTTAATTACCAGATATAACCTACATTTAATTATACCATTGTAACAAAAAATTTAAAAAATACTTAATATAATTTAAAACTACTTATAATCTAACATTAAACTAATAAAAATTTAAACATTTTTATCTAATAATAATATATTACCATTAAAAGTAACTGATATATTATTAATTAAATCATAGGAAGTGAAAATGCCTAGTCGAGTCTTGTAACAAGATGTTGGTGTTAATTATAATTGTGTGAATTTATGTACCGCGTATGTAGTTCTACTCTATTGTACGCCTTCCGCTGTCCCCCTCATCACACCACCCCGCGCGCAGATCAAATGCCGCTCGAGCGTCGTGCAGCATTTGGACCGCGCGCGGTGAGGGGGACAGCAAAAGGCGGAGGAAATTCAAAAATCAGCCGAAAGTTACATACAATTTATGTATGTTCACTTTGTAGTGGCACCTTTAATTAATAATATATCAGTTACTTTTCATGATAATATGTAATATATTATTATTAGATAAAAAGGTTTAAATTTTCGAGTATCTCCTTTTTTGATCATGGATTGAACTTTTCATTTTTAGGATATCATTTTTTCGGATATCATTTACTTTTTAGATTACAAATATATCACAAATATATAAAAAAATGATTTAAAAATATTACGTAAAAATTTTATGACAGAGAGTGAAATACTGCGAAAGAGAGGGGCGGTGCGGGAGGAGGAGGGGCGGAGGGGAAGTCCGGTAAGTTGAAGGTGGAGGTGCGAGTGAAAGATGAGAAAGGATGTTAAAAGGTTGTAAAAACGAAAAATTTATAATAATGTGCAGAATCGAAATTGTAATTAATATTTAAATATTCAATAATACAAATCTCTGTTAATATACGTATGACAACTAACATATCGTGTTTCAAGAAATCGAATTCATCTTTTTTTGTATTTCTGCTAAATCCATTTCGAAATAACGGAAGTTTATGTCTTTTAAGTTTGCAATACCAAGAGCAAACAGATGATATCGATCTGATAGACCAATTAACTTATTCCAATAATATGGAGTTTTTAACGAACTTATACCTTGTAATTTTTCATCGTTTTGTGCAAGCTTTATCTAAAAGTAAATATTCTTTTAAAGTGAAAAATCGTACAATGACGATAAAATTTAATAATTGTTAATTGGGATAAGTCTAATATAGTACCGTCTTTAACGTACAGAATGATTTTGGATACCTTACCGTATTTGCACCTGATTTTTTGAAAACATTTGTCCCTAAAATGGCGTTTCCATCAGCATCGCCATAGAATATTGAATGTCCTGCAGATGCTATTTGTGCTGAATCGCTTGGTATTTTTATCGCAACTTTAGTTAGTTCATTAGTTTTTTTTTTATTTGTACATTTTAATAACGATTCGATTTTTATTTTATAAATTATCGTTCCCGGCGTAGTAACATAATAAAGTTCTAAAATACAAAAAAGTATATAAAAAATCACAGATTAACAAAATAATAATGATAACTTGAAAAGAAATCATTTATGTTTTATAAATTGTTAAAAATACGTTTTAACACAAATGTAGATACATAAACATAATACAATATTAAATAAGCAAGGAAAATTAATGTAAGTATGGGAGTTTACATATAATAGTGAAGTTAAGGATCTGAGTATCCGTCATGTTTCTATAATATGATAAAATAATACAAATTACAATTAAAATAATATTTACTATCTTGGAAAGTGAGTACTCACCATCGTAAAGCGTTACTGTACCGAAGACACCGCCATCATAAGGAAATTTTTTATTTGATATGGAAACAACCTTTTTAGTGGGTATCATGTAATCAGATTCTACTCTGCACATACTCTTCACAGATGAGTCATATACTACTAAACCTTTACCTCGTACATCAGCTATGAATATCTGTAGATTTAGACAAATATCTTAATGCAATTATATTAATTTTATTATAATTAAGTCATTTAAAAAGCAAAATACGAGATGTATGTATTGTTAAACGTGTAACTAAATAATATTTGCCTTGGCAAACATGTATATTTGTTATTTTGATTAATTTATGAAAGGATATATACTAACAATCATTTTATCCAGAAAATGCGTGCATTCACCAGGAATATAAACGAAAGGCACTGCCAATAATCCAGAACCCGTTGCATTACTAGCAATATCAATTGGAATATATATAGTTTTTACTAGCGTATCATCTTTCAAGTTAAAGATCAACAGTTTTGGATTACAAATCTGGTTAGGCCCAATACTACCACTATCCAGAACAAAGATGTGATTGCACCTAATCTGAGATGAAAGCAAGAATTCTCTTTTATTTATTATCAAACTGACTACTGTGTGTGCATGTATCATAAATATACATAATACAGAATGAACTATCAATCATTCAATTGTTATTACTTATAAATATATATAAGTTGTGATATAAAGTCTTGAATGAAAGATTGATACTTACATGTACCCGTGTTACACTCACAATACCATCGCACGTACTATTATGCCAACTCCAGTCCGGATATGGTCGTAAAAGTGGCCCTCCTGGTCCTATCTTATCTGTTATAGTCGCCAAACTAGCAGGTGCACCAGGACCCAGTTCTTTCCAAGCAGTAATGAATATCCTACCGTCTACAAGAATATAATTTATAAATAGATCTTAAGAAAAAAATTACAGAACTTTGATTATTCAAAATACGTAGAGAGATATATAAGGCTAATGAGAGTCATCCACTATTTATTTTTAATGAATGACTGTTTATTACTAAGACCTTTATATTTTAACTAATATTTGGCTCATAGCCCTATTTTATATTAATTATTTTTTAATCCTTATAACCTTTGTATTTAATATATTTAATTATGATTTAGGGCCGATTGTTCTATCTATCGATAAAGTTTATCTCTTAGCTAAATTTGGCAATTTGCGCTCGTAATTGGGTAATCTAGCTATTTACTAACAGGTAAACTTTACCAAAAGATGGAACAATCGGCACTTAATGTGAAGATTTTTTCGTGGGTAACTCGAATCTTATTAGCCTTGTATACCTGTCTACGTATTTTAAATATAACTTACCTGTATAATTAAAAAATATGTTTGTTACTTTAATTTTATGACAGTGTTATTTCCCGCATTAACGTCATTAATGTATACATTAAAACGCATAAATATACAATATGATCAGTAGTTAAATATTAAAATAAGCTTTTGCTCTAATAAAGGTATTTCACAAATATTAGAATCTTTTTACTTTTTACTTTAATAAAGGTATTTCTACAGATAATCATTGCAACTTTTACAATTACTATATCAATTTACCTTTTGCTTTGTCCACATCGAATAATACGCACGCAGAACGATTGTAATTACCAGAATTTATTGCTTCTTCCTTCTGTTCGTTACTTTCCCATATGAAGTCAGCATAATTCCATTCATATTTATAATTTACTTTGATTCCAAAACTCGCAATTGTCATACACAAAACTAACAGGTCAGTAAAGACGTATCTCATTTTTACCTTTGTGTATAGGTACAGACAATAATGTTGTGTTACTCAGATATTACATAAACGAGACTTTTTCTGTTAAGATCTGGTTTTATTTAAAGTTAGAAGTTTGAATTCCTAGAAAAATATTGCACAGGTGTTCTTGTTATTAAATATTTATTAAAAATTAATCTATTAACGGCGTTATATTTTTTTGTGTTTGATGAAATTACATCACCTTATGATGTACAGGCAGAATAGAAATTTTGAATAAGATACTGTGAAAAATATCAAGAAGCCAGCAACACACTATTAAAAGATTTAATCGAAAAAACATCTCTGATGCATTTTAATTCTTTGTTTTTATTGTTAATATATTCGATTTTGGAGTTGCTCAGTGTTTCTCTTTGGTTCTAATAACGAATTGTATTTTACGTTCGTAAAATATAATGATTTGCTATTTACTGCAATTTCTCTCTTAAGACACAGACAGTTGCATATAAAAATAATCTAGTAGAAATTCTTACATGTAATTAAAGAATGCAATGACAAAGCGATTTTTGAAACTGCGTACGTCTTTTAAAAATATGGTTTTATTTTCGGATTGCAGTATATATGACAACTACACTAGTAAACACGTATATCGCAAATGCAACTGAGATCGTTTACTACTTATATCTTTTGTTTTATACACAATTCTTATGAAGATACCTTTAAAGGCTTTACTTTTCTACCGAGAATAATAATTAAATGTTATAATGGTCTTATTATAATAGTGTTATTATAACGTCTATAATGCAATATTTTCGACACTTGCATTTCAACACATAAATAATAACATAATGGTATACCTTATCGATAAGGCCATTAGGAACGGAGTATGTATTGATTATCTTTGTAACTGTATAAATTAAGTCACAAGTAAAATAATTTTTTATTATTATTCTTATACTAATAATCTTTCAGTAATTATTTCATTCTTTAAGGGGATACTGGAGCCGCCTGTATTATTGATAAAACAGGTGAAATCAGCATCATATTAATTATTTAATTAAATTAATCGAACTGATTAATGTATAACGTATATGGATCTAGATGTCGCAAGACTTCCAATTGTTCTTTCGAACTGGCAGAATTAATAACTTTTGCCTTAATATTTTATATGTTCGTATCATATTTTGGCATATATATACCTACTTTATATATATATATATACCTTTATCTTTTAACACAAAAGCCATAAACATCAATACCGTTACAATTAGTAATTTTTACTAAAACGAACTTATAGACGTTAATAATATTATAAACGTATATCTATAAATACCTTATATATAATATTTATAAAAGCAGATAATAAGCAAACAAAACATTAAAAGAAGATATGAATTCTAACATTTCGGAACACAAAGCTCTAAGAAACTAGTTGAACAAAGTCAAAATCGTTAAATATATTTTATCACAGCTAGACGTATTAATTGACAGTAAAAGACATTAAATGTAGAAATTAATACAGTATCTACAATAATAGCGTAGTTTTATCATATTAATGAAGTAAAACACTCTCGAAAGAGCGCTTATACGTATGATGTCTTTTTTTCATTAATGACACTTTTTCGACAGATGTCGGAAAAATAAAAACTTTATTTCAAATAAAGTGCTATCAAAAATTTTACAAATGCTAGCTTGAAACACACTATTAATAAATTTTCGGAATAACGACTCCAATTGATTTGATTTTTGTGTTTATTACTAATAAAATGGGTTTTCTTGCAACACAATTGGTCTTTTTGATTTTTACAACAATTAGCATTTTTCATTTGTAAAATACAATGAATGATTTTGAACAGCAATTGTTCTTTTTTATCTAATCACGGAATGCAAAAATAGCGAGCAAGTTTCTCAAAATATGTATATACAACTTACATTTATTAGTATTTCTTTTAATTATTATAACTTTTTGCACTGCAACAGTAAAATAATAACTGAATTATACATATAGACACGTATATCACAAATGCAATTATGTGATAATACTCGCTATTTATACCATTTCTTCAATGCAATACGTAAATGCCTTTAAAATGACTTATTATTCAACTATTAATAGTTGACAGCAGTAAAAGTCTTATCGATGTTATTACAAATATGATAATTTATAATTTGCTTACTCGTGCATTATAATAACATCCCGAGTAGTACAATTTATTGGCGAAACGTTTTTATTTGATATGAAATAATAACTTCATTCACCCTGCCTGCACCATACATAACAGAGACGTGCCATTTGGTCGCAAAGTCACAGAAAATATGATACGTCTTTCGAACGTCGCTATGACGTAACATAAATAATTTGACTGTTTTTATTTTAGCTGTTTGTCAAATTTTCTAGGATGTTGTCGTTTATATTTTAAAGATGAACAATATTTTCTCTTATTTTATCTTTGTTTAATAAAATTTCATGTAACACGTAATTGTCACGTCGCAAAGACGTTATATAGAATTCTATATTACAATTGGATAATATAATAATAATTATTATAATATTATATTATTATATTATAATATAATTGCAATATCAAATATTTTTATATGTATGTACATATTTTTTTTTTTTAATGTAATAAATCGTGTTCGTTGTATTCAACTATTATTTTACACTGCTTCTTTATTGCCGAAACACCGATCCGACGCGAATACTCCTCCTGCCGAACCTTTTTGTGCGACACTCTTTTCCGACGAGCTAGACCGAGCATAAAATCAAATAGTTACATGTGTATTATTATTTGATGTACCATTTTATCCTGTAATATTCGATGAAAAACAAGGATAAAATGATACTTCATACGCATTACACTAAACTGATATATCACAATTATACAGACGTTGACATATACAGATTCGTGAGTCATCAAAGTATAGCAGTTCCCGTACGATTGTCAAGGTTAAGTAGCGAGATTCGTGGTACAACTTCGGATGGTTGACCGTTTGGGAAGAATCATGAAAACAAATTAATTCTCGAATTTAGGCTGGAGTCCCATAAGGCGTATTGCCGCATATCACGTAACCGCGTAAGCAATTAATGCGCGAAATCACAACAGCAAGCCATTTTTTTTTATTGATCGCAACTTCACGCGTGCGAGCAATATGAGTCTCATATGAGGACGCATCTGTGTGGCGATATGCACTCACATCGTGCGAATAATCCGCACGACGTGCACGCACTATGATATCACTGTGCGAGCATTTTGTTATCTGGGAAGTTACAAAAACACGTCACTGTAACGTTTCTGTCACCAAAAATTTGACATTTAGTCACGTGACAGCGACGTGTCAATTACGTTTCGAAAACCAGTTAAGCGTCGCTGCAACGTAGTATGCGACGAGTTAGCACGTCACAGTGACGTGTTTGCCACGTACGGTGCAGGCAGGGCAGAGGAAAACACAGTTTTACAAAAGATGTACTTACAATGTTTTAATACAATTGGTTTTTACATTTAAAAACAGTAAAGAAATAAAATACCAATCACATCAAAGAATTTCACACCAGTTGCATACCTGCTTTTTCTGTTGAACGTAGTTACATTGACAAAATATTGATTAAGATTTGAGGATATATTGGGCCAATTTTGTGTGTATAAATTTTGCTATTGAGGATGTAGTGCATAATACATAATAATCTTTATATTATTTAAGGGGATCCTAAAGACGATTATTCATTTTCATGCAGGCGCTTACGTATCATTGACACATTACGACATCAATATCTCACTCCCGCACGCCATACATATACATAAACTTTTGTATAGCAATTACGTTTTAGTTCGACATCTAAATCCAGTTTAAAAACTCCACGCTATTTTTTCATGCAAACTACTCTCCTGTCGACTATTATTTCGTATGTACAAATTGCACAGTTTTTAGATAAATATTGTCACGATGTGCAACGATGTGACAGCTCTGAAGTGCCGTATATTGGTCTAAGACAAGTTAAAGCAGAACTTAATTTCGAATTTTTTTGTCGTTTTTTCAACATAAAGTCTTACAGAACGTAATCATTCGCCATTTTTTTAAATGAATTGTTCGAACACATACCTCTCGTAGAATACTCGAGTTGACAATACTACCTCTCATTCGAACACTCCGGATACTGAAGGGATATGTACGATTGTAACGGAGTGCGTTTAACATCTGGAGGGTTAAAATAAATATAATTCAATGCATTATTTAAAAAAAAAATTGTACGTTTATTGTAAACAAAATTATCAAACTCTTGAAATTATTATAAAACGTATTATACGAGGGCGAGCAAAAAAAACAGAAAATATAAATGATATAAAATTTATTAATAAATATCTTCACATATTCTAAAAGACATTATTATTTCAATAATATTCGTATAAATCTTTATTCCCTAATTAACTGTGAAATCATAAATATATTCTCCAGTGTCTTTATAAAATAACGTAATAATTTAAGTAACTCATGAACGGCTGATTAAAAATCTACTAATATTAAATAATAGATGTAATATCTTGTAAATATAAAAAAAATGGAACAAAAAATTATGACTATAATCGAATACGGCTTGAAATGATTGTATTTGTGTGAAGAGGCTATTGCAGAATTTTCTTATAATATATTAAAAATTAAAAATGTCGATTTCGACGAAAATCAACAATTTTTAATTTAATCAGATTTTACGAGAGAATACAAAAAAATTTATTATTTACATATTTTTTTCCTAATAGAAAATTTCAAGACAAACAATATCATGTGATTACTTTTTGCTTTCGAGTAATTTAAACGAAAGCTATGATTAACTAAACATATGCCAAATTAAATAAATTCAAAATATTAATAAATTTATATTTCAAAAATTAGCACAAATAAAAATCTAAAAAAATAACTGAATATACGTATTTTAAACCGAGGAACATTGAAAAATTAGTAAAAAGATCGGCAAGAGTCGGTGATGAAGACTGTCCGGTTTAGAATGATTTACACACACGAAATATGTATGTATA